CCAATAGGTCGCTCACCGCCGATGACATACCTCTCGCTGAAGACAGTGATAGCGGAGACAATTTAGTAATCGATTTGACGCCCGATTTGTGGGTCAATGCAATCAAAGCGCGGATTGACTGCATTTTGCAATACAACCAAAACCTTGCTTTCAATTGAATTGCATTACGAAATGCATTCAAATCAGAGTATTTCTATGGACATCCACAGGCGATGAATCACGTGACAAATTAGTACTGATTATACTGTTGAAAAATTAATACTAAAATGTTATACATAGAACATATCAGTATTAATTTTTCGACAGTATAATCAGTACTAAATATGGACATCCACAGGCGATGAATCACGTGACAAATTAGTACTGATTATACTGTCGAAAAATTAATACTAAAATGTTATACATAGAACATATCAGTATTAATTTTTCGACAGTATAATCAGTACTAATTTGTCACGTGATTCATCGCCTGTGGATGTCCATAGAAATACTCTGATTCAAACCCAAACACCACTGCATTTGCCGTACATTTCAATACAGTTTCAATGCGTTTGCATTAAGTATGCATTCAATGAGTTTTGTGTGCATTTAATTACCCGTAAATCCAATGAAAGCAAAACAATTAAATTCAATGCAATTGTCGGTCAATTCAACGCGACTTCAGTTAACGGTTGCGATTGTATTGTCGTTTCAAATGCTATATATTTAACCATAACTTACGTCCGGATTAATACAGTTTATGGCAATGTTTTGTAGATATTCTATACGTTAAAGCAATGCAACGAATGAACAGTAAATTGAGTGCAAGTGTGCAAAAAGTTTGAATCGATTGAGTTTTTTAGTGACAAAATCTATTTGTTATGAATGTTTCAAAACACGTGGCAATCAATCGGTGTTTGATTTGATTGTGATTTGCGTTTAAATTTAGGCAACTTTTGTGTGAATTGCTTAACAAATGGACGGTTTAGTCAAACAGTTGGTCTCGTTTTACGCCAAGAACTCGACTCTTGTGGCCGTAATTGTGGCCATAATTGCCGTTTTGATCACTACTCGTGAGTAAAACATATTTTGCTTTGATTTCAATTCAATTAACGATTAATTTTTGTTTTGATTTAATAGTAATTTATTTCCTGTTTTCGCGTAAATCGTCGCGAAATGCCATCCTTTTGGTCGGTCTCTCAGACGCCGGCAAAACAGTGCTCTTCACACAAGTAATTGTCGTTTACTTACCATTCATTTGATAATTATTTGCTAAACTGTTAACCATTTTTTGTTACTTTTTTTTCGGATCAGTTAATCACCAAAAAGTTTGTGTCTTCAGTGACTTCGATGAAAGAGATGTCAAACACATTGAAACTGACGTCCAATAAGAGCATTGAATTGATTGATTCGCCGGGTTTTGAGCGCTTGAGGAGTAAGTATTGGGACGACTATAAGACGCGGGCGAAGGGCGTCCTCTTTGTCATCGACAGCACAGACTTCGCCAGTAGTGGCAAAGATGTTGCGGATCTGCTCTACAATTATCTGGCGGACCCATTGGTGGCCACAAACGCCATACCATTCCTCATCGCCTGCACTAAACAGGACGAGACGAGAGCCAAGTCCTCGAAAGTGCTTCAGAAACAACTCGAAAGAGAAATGTATTTAATTTTTATTTGTTTTTTAAATGTATTGTTATTTTGTGTTAACATTTGGTGCGTTATGTTTGCAGTACTGCCATCCGTGAGACCCGTTCGGGTGCTCTCGGCTCTACCGGTGATGACGAGACCGGTCGAGCGATTCTCGGAAAACTAGACAAAGAGTTTTCATTCAGTGATATTAAAAATACGGTTGATTTCGTCGACTGTTCTGCCGCTGAAAACAAGACTCAATTGGATTCAGTGATCAATTGGATCAAAAGCGTCGCTTAAGAACTGGATTTTGCACTCAAGCCATATATTAATCCATTTAAATGTACAGTATTTTTGTCTCAATTAATATATTGTTAAAAATTGGTGTTTTAATAAATAAATTTCAACACATAATGTTTTAATTTAGTTATTATTATTTGAAATTAAAAATAAGTATACATTTTAGGGATTGAATTTCATACCCATGTGTGACATAACGTATGAATTTATCTAATCGTAAGTTTCTATAGAGAAATTGTAAGGAAATATTAGATAAAATTTAGTTCAAATCAATTGTGAGCACAAAAATATTGTGTTATAAAGTTTGTCTCACAAATTGCAAAATGAGTTCAATTAGCAGTGAATTTAATGAATTGGAGTTTGAAATGAACATAAATAACTACCCCTACGACCCGCCGCCCACTTATGATGAGGCCATTAATCAAGAGTCGTTTATAGTGGCCGTGCCATCGGTGGAGACCGACCGGCGCTCTCACCCCTCCTCTCAATTTATTGATCTGATTTATGGTTCGACGCAAACCACTGGCGCACCGGTCGGTCCTCTCCGCCCCATTCACGACCAGCCCGTAAGGCGTAAGAGAATTTGCTGGTGTTGTATATGCTGTTGGTATTATTGATTTGCCATCAAATATATACTGTAGTACAAGAAGATCACTTGTTTTCCCAATTCTGTGTTCAACTGATTAGTTATAACTTATTTATTTATTTTGCTGCTTATATGCACATTTATAACTTATTTTTGGTCTATATTTTGTGCACTTACTGTATGTTTCATAACATGTCATAAATTAGTTAAATTAGTTGAAAGTTTTATAATACAGTACATTGTTTATTACAATTAAAAGTGCAATAAAATATCATTATTTATAATCACAGTCGCATAACTTATCATTACAATTGTATGCCTGACTTAACCATAAGATTTATATCGATTTATGATTAAATATACTGTATATAGTTTTATTTTGCTAATCTGTATATAAAAGTATTGCATATAAATGTATAAAAACTACTTAAAAATTAAATGTAAATAATTATTTGTAAACAAAAAAGTTTAAAAAAAATAATTATTATAATAAAAAAATAGAAACATGGTGTAAAAAATAATGTCCGACGAGGCGGATTTGAACCACCGACCTAAGGATATCAGCATTGCTTTACTACTACAGTCCTCCGCTCTACCAACTGAGCTATCGTCGGATATACATTTGGATGCATCTATGATCATTTTTATTTAGTAACTGACCTTAATTTTGATACACTTTAGATTATGACCGGTTTTTATCATAATTTAATGTATTTTATTTAATATGTAATACTCTAGTAATTGTGCTGTTCATTAAATATTAGTTTTATATAACTATTAGTGTGTAAAAGCATGTGATCATTATGTCTTCTTATGCCATAGTGCTGTACAGTATAACGGTATTGGATTAACCATGTTTGATGTTATACTGTATTAAGTTTTTTAATTTTTAAAACATATTAAGAAATATAATATCGTACTCTAAAGTTGATATTTTGTTAATAAATGATTAAAAATATTTGTCTATTTCAAACTAATCATCACTTGTGACAAATACAGAGAATATTATAAGTTATACTTTATAAATACATACGTATATAATTTATTTTAATTAAATATATAATTGTTGTACCTAGACTATAACCCGGCAGAATAAAATAGGGGATATTATTAATATGACGTGATTATTGAATCACCAAGGTGACTTTAAAGTGTAGACAGTATTTTAGTACACTATATGTGACTAACATATGAATAGTGTATAAATTACAACACAAGGGTTTTATGCTGGGTGCCCTGAGGTGCAAATTCTGCCTGCTCATAACCTAGACAATATTAACCTAATGTCACAATTCTGAGATAATAGATGTGTTTCGATGTGTTTATTGATGACATGACTGGATCTGTTGAAACAGAAATGTCTCCCTTTTCTTATTAACAATAAATTGATCCAATTTTTGCGATCAAAATCTTTTCTATGGACTTATCGGCAGAATATATGCGATAATCTCTTTGATCGACGCCTAAGTCTTGACAAAAATGTTTGATATGTTTCTCATCAATAATGCGGTCGTCGTCTCCAAACGCCACAAGAGTAGGAATTTTAGCCTCTTTTAGATGATTGAGTCGTTGATGGAGTTGTGTTGGTTGAGCTCCGGCCACAAACAGCAATTTTTTATTTAAAAATACTCACAGTTTTGCGATAAAAATATATATATCTATTAATTAAGAAATATATCAAACTGAACCAAACTCGTAAAAGAATCCACATATTTAACATGTTCTATGATGTAAACATGATCTTTTTATTTAAATATATCAATCAATAAGTGCCAATATTTTTTAATTATTGAATTTATTCATAAATTGTAAACATAAAGATAATTATAAAATCTATTATAAAATCACTTTTTAAATAATAGCTTTTCGATGTATTGGTTGACAACAGCACTGAATTTATTATAAGCAAAGTGTCCAGAATTTAATGGCAAAACCTTTACATAGTTATCACCAGATTTGCTCATCTCTTCAATGCTATTATCGGATGAATAGTGAATATAATCGGTTTGCTTAGCGCCTAACTCGTGGACCAAACGATCGTTAATGTGTTTGGGAATCAATTTGTCGGTCTCTCCAAACACAACAAGTGTCGGTATTTTGTTGTGTTTGATGTGTTGTAACTTCAGGTGAAGTTTATGATTGATAAGATGTTTGCTGACTAAAGCCATTTGCAACACTTCCCCGGCGTCTCTATACTCTAATGGAAAGAATGTGTGTCGACCTATCAGTTCCAGTCTTAACAATTCCATCACTTTTATGGATAACTCGTTGTGCGAGAAGAAAGCGAACGCTCGGCTCAAATGGTTTGCAGTCCTAAAGTATTGTTTGGAGAACCAGAAGGGCTGCGGACACAACAGACCTATTGATCCTATTGTCAGCTCTCGTGGCTATCAATACATTCAACCAAAATATAGTTTTATTAAAAATTATTTAAATAATTATTTTAAACGAAGTCTTACTTCAGACCATAACAGAGAAATCGGTTGAATTCCCGCCGAATGACTGATCAGACAATCAATTTTTGAGACATTAATGGCTGTCAAGAAGTCTCGTATTAATTGAGATCTTTCTTCGTTTGAGTGCCAGAAAGCCATTGACTGTCGGGTGAGACCAAAGTCAGGCATATTTGGGGCAATCACTCGAACTGAAGACTCTTTGCCACCGAAAGTCTCATATAAACCACTGAAGTGTTTGTGATGACCCGGATTACCATGAATTGCAACGATTGTCTTCACGTTATCACTCTTTGAAACCTTTCGGTCGCCAAAAGTGTCCACATATTCAACACTCACTGGCAGTCCATTCGTTGGACTCTTTCGATAAAGTGTTGGATTCTTTGCCTTCAATTCTTCATACAATTTACCACATGTTTTGAATTCAATTCTTTTAATTATATTCTCACTAATTGTCGAGAAATTCAGACATTTATTGAATTGAATTGTCTTTGAATTGAATTTATGCCGAAATACAATATATTTAAATGAATTCATTATTGAATTGTAAAAATTAAAAACAAAACTATTTTCTTCACTCAAATAGTTTGCAAAATGTAGAGAGAAGTCATTGGTTTTGGGATTCAATCATATGATTGCATGCATTCAAGGCTTGCCTCCAAAGCATTGGCAGCACTTCTCATGTGAAGACTGAGCACTCGTGAGGACTCAATTTGTACTCAAAAATGTACTCAAACTGTACTCAATGTACGAATTATAACAATTATTACAACTATATTAATAACGAGTACATCAACCATAATATCTCCACTATTTTACCCATTTTCAAAAGATTAGCACAAATTATTCGCAATATTATTGCAATCAATAAAATCACACAAAAAAGTTTTCAAATTGTCTAAACTTTATTTTAAAAGATTATTTATTTACAATTATTTAAACATTTTAGAGTTTTGAGCTTTTGATTATTTGTTAAATTGCTTATTCACATTTAATTTGTTAATTTTTGCTAAAAATAAATAATTTTTAAATTTTTAATTCTCGGGTCAAGAAGTGAGTAAAAGATTGTCGATATGTTTGGACACAATCTGTGAAAATTTATTATAAGCAAAATGACCGCCACTTTTAAGTGTCACAACTTTGACCCAATTGTTGTGATCAGAATTGGATTCAATTGTATTGTCCGCATATATCGTACGGTCTGTCGGTTTAGCGCCTAATCTCTCAACAAATCTCTCAAAATTTTCTTTAGGAACGAGTTTATCGTTCTCTCCGTAAACAACAAGTGTTGGGATTTTCATTGACTTAAGAATATCTAACTTATGGTAAAACTCTTTGTTCACTACATAAGAGTGGACTAAAACAAAGTAAAGCACTTCATCGACACTGTTGAAAGTGATGGGCGATCGACCTTTGCTTATCATATGAGGTTTGATTGCATCCATGAATGCGATCCCAAACTTATTTCTCGCAAAATTAGACAACAATTTGTTTACTTCGAAGAATCTGTCGGAAAGATATTGTGGAGAGAATATTCCCAACGATCTGATGGTCAGTTCCCGCGGCTATAGTCATGAAACGATACAACAAATATATTGTATTAAATATGACTATTATTTTTATTTGCAGATTAAGTCTTACTTCAGACCATAACAGAGAATTCGGTTGAATTCCCGCCGAATGACTGATCAGACAATCAATTTTTGAGACATTAATGGCTTTCAAGAAGTCTCGTATGAATTGAGATCTTTCTTCGTTTGAGTGCCAGAAAGCCATTGATTGTCGGGTGAGACCAAAGTCAGGCATATTTGGGACAATCACACGAACTGAAGATTCTTTACCACCAAAACTCTCATATAAGCCGCTGTAGTGTTTGTGATGACCCGGATTACCATGAATTGCAACGATTGTCTTCACGTTATCACTCTTTAAAGCCTTTCGATCGCCAAAAGTGTCCACATATTCAACACTCACTGGCAGTCCATTCGTTGGACTCTTTCGATAAAGTCTTGGATTCTTTGCCTTCAATTCTTCATACAATTTACCACATGTTTTGAATTCAATTCTTTTAATTATATTCTCACTAATTGTCGAGAAGTTTAAACATTTATTAAATTTAATAGTTTTTGAATTGAATTGAAATTTATTACAAAATAAAACACATTTAAAGGAATTCATTATTAATTTAAAAAACCACAAAAAGTTTACAAAACAATGTGAGAAACAATTAATTTAGGGTTCAATCAATCATTACTTTCATATTTACAGTTATGTTAATTTATGAATGAATAAAAGGATTGATTCAAATATTTTATTTATTTCCACATTGAATGACGAAATCATATGTTTTGAAGGCTTTCCCTTTAAATCAATGGCAGCACTACTGATGACAATCTCAAGTCAATAAAGTTTTTACTCAAACTTTTTATGAAAAACGATCTCAAATGTACTTTAAATTGTACTTTCATATACAAAATCATAATTATGATTGCATCAATTTTAACAAACATTTAATCATTTGTTTTAAACTATTTATTTTAAAAACACATTTTCATTAAAATATAAAAATAATTTAAAAATTCACAATAAATTTACCTAATTTACTTAAATTAAATTTACTTTTTTTTATATAATTAGTTTCCTAATAATCCAAATTCCTAATAATTAATACACAATTAACTATAATTATATGAATTTTACAATACATTAAACCTAACCCTAGGATAACAGATCTTTAATGACATGTTTATTCACAATATCACTGAACTTATTGTGAGTGAAATGTCCACCGGTTTTAAAAGTTAAAACTTTTGACAAAATCTTGTCATCATTTTGTGGTCTACTTTGTGGTGTATTCTCATCGGTAAAGCGGACAAAATCTCTTTCATTAGCGCCTATATCTCGTACCAAATCGTAAAAATTACTTTTTTGAATCAGTTTATCCCTCTCTCCGTACACCACAAGAGTCGGAATCTTGTGATTCTTTAAATACTCTAATCTCTTATGAAGATTATTTGGATCTAAACGTGAGAAAAGCCATAACATCAGGACCTCATCCACCGATTCAAATCTCATTGGATAACCAAATCGATGGGCGATTAGATCGGGTCTCAAGACGTCCATCAGTTTAATTCCGATCTTGTTTTCCGCAAAATAAGCTAAGTTTCGACTCAAACGGAAGAATAATTTTGTGACCCATAGAGGCTGCGGACAAAACAGACCAATTGATCCGATCTTCAGATCTTCGGGCTTAAAATTTTATTAATAAATCATTTATTAATTTCTTCACAAAAAAATATTTAAAAAGTTGTCAAATGAAAGAAATGTCATACTTTGGACCAAATCTTAGCGATTGGATGAATACCAGCGGAATGACTGATAAGGCAATCAATTTGTGAAACATTAATGGCTTTCAAAAAATCTCGTATGAATTGTGATCTTTCATTGTTTGAGTGCCAGAAAGCCATTGACTGTCGGGTGAGACTAAACTCAGGCATATTTGGCGAAATCACACGAACTGAAGACTCTTTGCCACCAAAAGTCTCAAACAAACCGCTGAAGTGTTCATAATTCCCGGGCATACCGTGGATGGCGACTATTGTCTTCACATTACTATTGTTTAGGACTTTTTTATCACCAAAAGTGTCCACATATTCAACACTCACTGGCAGTCCATTCGTTGGACTCTTTCGGTAAAGTCTTGGATTCTTTGCCTTTAATTCTTCATACAATTTACCACATGTTTTGAATTCAATTCTTTTAATTATATTCTCACTAATTGTATACTTATAGCACTTTTGAATAAATTTATTCAAACTATTAGTTTGTTTAACAAATAAAACACTTTTAGAAATCATGTTTAAAAGCGACAAAAAGTTTTCCTCAAAAACGATATTCAATGAAATGTTAACAAAATTGACATTAATTTCCGATTAAATATAGCAATCATATGAGTGTTGCGCTCATAAGCATTGTATTCACTGTTATATTTGATAATCTCTTTAATTAATGCGTTAATAACCTATGGATTGAGTCAATTATATCGTAAATTCAATCTTCATTACAATTCACGGCATTTAAACCGACTCTCAATTCCCAATAGTATATCAATTATTCAATCATAAGTTCCCAACACTTTATGCACTCAAATACAACACTATTTCAATTTAAACAGTATTTTTCTAATCAATGAACTTGTTAAAATAAATACTTAAAAACAATACTAGTCATATACTGGTCAAACAACATTCACAGGCATATCGTACACAGCTATGAAACGTGCAATTGACCTAGGTGCTTACAATTGGATGAGTTCAAAGTTCAACTCGTGATTGGATTCCGGAGTTGACGCGTGAATGAGTGGTGAAGAGTGCGAGTCGTGAATGAATGTGTAAAACACGCGTCCATTCAATAGAGTAGCGATTTATTGGACGCCGCCTTACGATCGTTGGCACCAATGAGTGGACACTTGAGTCGTGCACTCAATGCAGTCATCAGTCAGTCATACCATCACTGGATGTGACAATTGCTCAACACATCAATCATTAGTCGGTTTGTTGTTGTGATGAAATGCCAACACTTTTCTCAACATTTCGTTATTCATTGCATTTGTGGACGTATTTAATGCCAGAAGTTTGCGATTTTACACACTTTTTAACAACACTTGACGTCCGATATATACACCACTTATAGTCCCCTTCAATGTTAACTCTATGGCCAAATGTGAGACCCCTTTACACAACGTTTGCTATTATAGTCCCAATTGTTGTCAAATAAGGCAAACCTTACTCTCATTTTGTGTTGAATTTAATTCAATTAAATCTAAACCCGATTTACAGACCGTTTGACTCCTAAACAGGTATTGATTTTACATTTACTTTTGTTTTGCTAAACATTTAATTATAATTTCAATCAAATCTACAATAAATTAAAAGAAAATTTTAAAAAATAATTTTGACCACAATTTGAGNTTAATTCAATTAAATCTAAACCCGATTTACAGACCGTTTGACTCCTAAACAGGTATTGATTTTACATTTACTTTTGTTTTGCTAAACATTTAATTATAATTTCAATCAAATCTACAATAAATTAAAAGAAAATTTTAAAAAATAATTTTGACCACAATTTGAGTGAATGAAAGACACGAAGGAATTGACAATTGATTTGTAAATTAATTGTTTAATTAACAGATAATTAATGAAATGATTATAAGACACAAGAGTTTACACACAAATACCCCTCGGCTTAAAAAGTTTGCATAAGTTTTTTGCATTAATTGCATTCAAATCGTGTATTCAATGATAATTTAGGATCAATTCTTGGGTCAATTGTGAAGAGATATTGAATGAATGAATGACTTAATCATCTGATTTAGAAATAAACGATAATTTAATGTCTAATTTTGCAGATAATTGAATGTTTTGTTGAGCGCCAAGTGTTGGATCAGGTATCTCGTGGGTGTGTCATCTGGTATTAGTGATGTCTGTGCCGTCCTCAGGAGTGATGCACGTGGATGAGTTCATATTCAACTGCTGTGTCTCGTCGATGATCGCCGACGAGGGGACGGACACGTCTGGGGCCGAGTGGTCGTCGTCCTCGTCAGCGGCGGCGGCGATGAATGTGTTCTCCATCGACGAGAATAAGATCCGCGACGGGAATGGCATCATATTTGCCGAAGCGATCACTTGCTATAAGTGTACGTTTTGACCGAGTGGTCGTCGTCCTCGTCAGCGGCGGCGGCGATGAATGTGTTCTCCATCGACGAGAATAAGATCCGCGACGGGAATGGCATCATATTTGCCGAAGCGATCACTTGCTATAAGTGTACGTTTTGTGGCAAAATGTTCGCCGCTATGGAAGTGGTTCTCACACACTATCAGTCAAACCATAGATGTTCTGTCATTCCCCTCCTTAAAGGTAATGCACTTTTGTGTCACTTCTTCGCCGCTTAATATTGATATCTGTTTGTCTTTTATGTCTAAAAGGTTTATCAAAACTATCGACACCTAAACTCAAAGCACCGAAATATAACTTCTCAAATAGGAGTCAATCGCCGCAAATCAGTGCTTCAAAAGTTATTAAAACTAAAAAAATGTCTAAAACTCCGGAACCATTGAAAGCGAAAGTCAACGCAAAGAGTGATCTGGAAAACAGCGGATCCAATAAATTGACAGAAAGTGCAGCAAAAAATTTAAGACATTTGAGGGAAAGCACTAAAAATGTCACTTTAGGTGATATAATAACCAAAAAGGGTTATAATAAACGTTCATTTAAATGCCATTTCCGAGGTTTGCATACAATTAACGCCACAATAATTATGAATTTAATTGACTGTTATTTGCAATGAAAGGCTGTTCTCTTGGATTCATAAAGAAAGCCTATTTAGAGAGTCATCTGAAGTCGCATAAGAAGATGAAGTCCTATAAGTGTGAATGGAGTGACTGTCAGTTCAAATGCTCGGATTTGGCCGGTTTTGAGTTCCACAAGAAGAGCCATTCGGGTGACAATCCATACAAGTGCTGTTGGCCCGGATGTGACCACTCGTTCGCCGATTCCACCGCCAAAGATGAACACATGCAGAGCCAACACATTGGCGACCGGATTCTTGAGTGCGATTACGCCGGATGTGGCGCTAAATTCAAATTAGCCGTCGATAGAGACCGACATAAGTACTGATAATTTATACTCTAATTGTTTAGATTATGTGACGAGAGTTTTGCTATATTTTACAGACAAATTCATTCGGGAAAGAAGATCTCAGCGCCGCCTAAACTCGTCAACGGTGTTGCGGTGAGAGGTCGCGGCCGTCCGCCCATTAAAAGGAAGACATACATTGAAATCAGTTCTTCCAGTGAGTCATCGGAAGAAGAAAGTGAAGACGAAGAGGAAGAAGAAGGCGATGAAGCAGTGGTGGACACCAATAAAAAGGACAAAAGTGTTAATCAAGATATTGATAGCGATATGAAATGCGAACCATTAGATCTCTCGAAGACGGGCTCTAAACTAATTAATGAGACAAACAAATCGTTGGAAACAAAGAGCAAAACGCCATCAAAAAGGGGTCGAAAACGTAAAGAGGAATCGATCTCTGAGAAGAAGGTATCGGTGCATGTCTTCAGATGTGATTATCCCGGATGTCGGAAGACATTCACGGTATCCGATCTCCTAAAGGATCACGAGAGGGACGCCCACAACACCCCTGCCATCGATGGCCGCTCACGATATGGACGCCGTTGTAAAGGAAATCTTTATTATAAACTCTAATGATTTTAAAATTGAAATTTAAAAATGAAATATTTAGAGCAGGAAAGTCAAAAGACATAATTTAAGTAGACGTAGGTTTTGTGCTATGATTGTGTTTGATACCTGAATAGTATTACTCACTATAATATTGTACATAAATGCTAACACAATTTTGGCCATTTTTTGGCCATTTTGACTTTACTGATTTAGAGTAATATAATATTAACTGTTAATTCTATTTACATATTATATTATAATATATTGACCTAAACTACTGTATGTTTAATTGCACTATTAATTTGAATGTTATTAATTCAAATTCATTCTTGAATGCATTTCTGTAATTGTTTTAATGTTTTGTGTTTTTTCATATAATTACATACAATGTATGCTAAAATGCATTCGTATTAAGATTTTATTTAAAAATAAAATAATCTTTAATTTAAAATTGGTTAAATTGAATATTTATTAAACACTAGTTAGAAGTACCGGTAGTTTTTTAATTGTTTTCAAATATCAAATTGTTAATCAAATTCACATTAATCCTTTACTAATTATTAGTACATGTAGTAAAAATTATAAATATAATTCTATTATAAAAATACATTTATTTTAACATTTTATATAAACAATTCTCTCTAAAAATCATTACATTAATTCAAAATCACGAACAATAAAAAAATATTAATTTCGAGGGAAAATATAAAAACATAAGAAACTTAAAATGCTTTTGAAATCACTTTACGCTTTCTTTCATCGATAAGCTTTTGGGACACCTTTTTGCGGTCATAAGCCTGTCCTATAAGTGCCATCACATCTATAAACATTGTGGTGATGTTTAGACGCCAACCCATTTCACTCGTCGAGTAATCAAATGGGAACTCGTGGTGATAATTATGGAACCCTTTGGACATGAGTTAATCAATTCAATTATTAATGAGAATCTAATAATCAATTGATTGCATACCCTCTCCAAAGGCACCGAACGATACGAATAGGTTTTCTCGCGCCTCTATTCTGGGATTATATCTGTTATGCAATAGATTTCAATTAAAAATCAATTTATATTAATTGTTAGCTCTCTTACGGTTTACTTCCAAACATATGGGCCGCAGAATTAACAAACCAAGTGCTGTCAATGAATTCATTACATCAACTAATTAATTGTCATCAAAATCAAAGTTATAAGTTTAATACCAGTGCAAAGACGTGCAGTATCTTAAGACGGCCACAACCATCGCATTCCACACGCTTTCTGACCACAAGTAAATGGGAATAATAATCGGCAAAACAATCACTAATGTTATGTAAAGTAAAGTATAATATCTGTTGAAAGAAAAACAGTAATTGTATAACAAATGACAAAAACCCATTATTCAAACAATACTTCTTCTGGAACTTCACGACGGGATCATTGAGTATATCAGAGCAGTCGAGTTGTTTGCCTTTCGCGATAACGTCCGGATGTTTTCGCGTCAAAAGCCAACCGACGTGTGCGAAGAAGAAGCCCCGCCGGGAGTTGTGCGGATCGGCGTCCGTCTCGGCGTACTTGTGGTGCACCCGATGGTCGCGACACCACTCATGCAAATCGTTCTTCGCGTGGTATTCAATTGCATTTATTAACTCATATCTTATGCTAAATAAATTGTTTTAAATACCTGTCCGGCGATTGTGTGAAATATCATCAAAACTATTCTGAATGGTAGCCGTGCTTTGTATGAACGATGTGACCATAATCTGTGCGCACCGGCCGTCACTCCCAGACCTATCAGGGATTCAATTTATATAATGTCTATCTTATTTAATGTCAATAGTAATAGTCAAACCTCCAGCCATTCCGTACCAAAACGCTAATTAACCATAATCTGTGCGCACCGGCCGTCACTCCCAGACCTATCAGGGATTCAATTTATATAATGTCTATCTTATTTAATGTCAATAGTAATAGTCAAACCTCCAGCCATTCCGTACCAAAACGCTAATTTTGTAAATTAATTATTAGTCAAATTAAAAGTAATGAGTTTACATGTGGTAAGAATGAAATCAAATATAGATGTTTTACCAAAAATCCAAGTAATCCAACATTTATTGACGAGAGAGTGATAAATACTATACAAATAGAAAATATTTAACACGAAGAATAAGAAGACATTTCTCCAGACAATAGCACTTCCACTCGTGTTGTAAATATAGCGGACGTTTACTTTATCATACAATACAATATATGACTTGATTTGACTCATTTTAAAAGTGATTTAATTTTATTGCTATTTATAAATTTTAATAAAATTATCGTAAAGAATATTCTGTTGGCTTTATTAAAATATATTATCTAAAACTTAAACAATTAACTAAAATAACACGAACAGCACTAAAAACACATTTAAATGCTATTTTATTAAATAATTGACATTTTCTTCTCATTTACTCAAATAAAAAAATAACTTAAGGTTTTGTATAATTAGTAATTACTTATAATTATTAATTAGTCAATAATATATATATATACAGTATAGTCAACGGTTATCTTAAAACTTAACAAATCTCTCACCCGATCAGAGATTAGGGATTAAAAGGTCGACAGATTGGATGACTTAAAAACTAATTTTATTTAAATTTTAGAAACTTTTGGTGAACTTTATTATTAACTTTTTGAATATTCATTGATTTCATAATTAATGTAAAAGTATTTTTCAAATACTTTTGAAACAAAACTTTTTCAAAGCGCAAGAATTTGTCCGAAAGTATGAATTGAGTGTTCAATGAATGCCATCTATTGTTCACTCATTTGAGTCATTCATTTCATGCGAAAGTGTTTTGAGTTTTGAAAACACAAGAAATCATTTGAAAATCGTTTGAATTATTAAATTATATGTGATTTCAATTCAAACATTAGTTTTGATTTCAATTGCATTTCATTTAATAAATTACTGTATATTTTGAGACAAGTTTTGCCACAAAACAGACATGTCTTTCAATTTTGGCGGCACTTCGGGTGGTTTTGGGTTCGGGTCGACACCAGTGACCACTTCCTCCACACCACTCTTCGGCGGATCTCAGACCACGACCTTTGGCCAGACGTCTGCTCCGGCTTTCGGTGGAACTCCTTTTGGCGGACAAACACCACAACAACAGCCGCTCTTCGGTGGACAACAAACTCAGTCCACATTTGGCTCAACGCCTTCTTTCGGAGCTAACCCTGCGTTTGGCTCTTCATTGACTGCACCGGCCTTTGGATCAAATCCAACGACACAATCAGCTCCGCAATCAGTCTTCGGCTCTTTTGGTATTGATATTACTATTGATGTCATTCTTAAGACAATATTTAATTGCTTTTTGTCTTATTTAAGGCGCGACTCAACCATCTGTTCCCGCTTTTGGCTCAGGATTTGGTGGTCAGACAACACCGGCCACCACTTCCAACCTTTTCTCATTCCCGTCGGCACAACAACCGCAACAACAGTCCACTCCATCCCTATTCGGAGCCCAAACTCCGGCCACGACTCAGACGGCGAGTGTGTTTGGATCTCCGTTTGGGGCGTCAGTCGCGCCGCAGACTTCCCAGTCGTCTATATTTGGCGCCACTCCTCAAGCACTACAACCGCAGCCCACGAGTCAGCCCACCCTCTCATTTGCCAATAGTCCAGCCCTCGCATCGGCTTTTGGTCAGACATCTGTTCCAGCATTTGGAGCGCAAACTTCGACACCGACTGCGCCCGCATTCTCTTCCGGTTCACTCTTTGGTTCAACTAATTTACGTAAGTTTTGGTCACATGTTTGGCATATGTTTGTAATAAATTGTGATTTGAATGACAGCCACGTCATCGGCAGCACCGGCGGCATCGATGCCCACATTTGGCGGTTTTGGCGCAACGGCTCCGACCACTGGCTTTGGAGGCGGAGGTTTTGGCGCTCCGGCGGCGCCCACCACAGCGGCGCCCGCATTCAACTTTGGAGCGGCTGTTCCGACGGCCACCACAACCACTCCTACCCTTTCGTTTTCGTTGCCTTCGGCCGCGAACACCATCTCAACGTCAGCTCCGGTTCAGACAATCGGCACAACAACTGGTTTCGGAGGATTAAGTCAACCCATTGTTAG